TATCCATAATTTCTGTCACACACTTTAGTTCCTTCATTTATAATTAAATCTAAATCTCTACTCTTTATATGCATTTATCAATTCTATAAGAATCAGACTATCTTTGTTCACATCCATATATCCTTCCTCTTTCTCCTAGTTCCAGAAAGTACATCTATTTTTCTTTCTTCCATTTAATTTCTTCCTTATTACTCTTTGCCATTACTTTTCTTGCATTCCAAGTTGCAATGTTCCCTATGGACAATGTGAGCAGCCCTTAGATATTGAACTCTGCTGCCCATTGTGGCTTTGGCCAGTAGAGACTTTCCAATAGCTTCTGTAGTGAATTAGAGAAGGTATAGACTAGGTGCTCAATCTTAGTTCACCTGTACTGCATGAAGTATTTCCTGCTAATGGTAACTGCAGTATTGATAGGTTGGGCACATTCTGGCCAATATGCCACAGTACAAGCAAGAGGCAGTTTCATTCCATGTATGCCCATGCTACTCCATGAAGCCAGGATATCAAATCTAGAATTCATCTTGTAAGTCAACATATCAAGACCAGGGGTGAAATCCAGCAGGTTCTGACAGGTTCTGGAGAACTGGTAGCAGAAATTTTGAATAGTTCAGAAGTTCAAAACTGGCAAATACCACCTCTGGCTGGTCCCAGAGTGGGGTGGGAATGGGGATTTTGCAGTATCCTTCCCCTGCCATGCCCACCAAGCAATACCCACCAAGCCACGCCCACAGAACTGGTAGTAAAAAAAATTGAATTTCACCACTAATTAAGACACTACGGTATATGCACTACTGTAGGCTGATAGACACTCAGGAGGAAAGATGGATAATTTTCTACTACTATTTCAGGGGTGGGAGGGAGTTTTTTTTCATGACTTGTTTCTTGATTGCAATATGGGTGTGGCCATGTCATTCATGTGGCTTTACCCATTTTTTCCAAGGAGATTATGGATTTTAAATGTGAAATGTCTATTTAATTTCCATGTATTTCTCACCTCAAAATGGCAGACAACTGTGTTGTTTTAATAATCATGATCAAAGAAGGCTCTGAGGTTCTTAAAAAAGAAACCGCAGCAGATTTCTATACCGTTTGCTAATAGAACATTCAAAGTAATTATGAAACTAAGCTAGAAGGGGAAGTTACTTATTTACATATTATCTCAGCTATATATTTTGCTCAAATACCAAATTCTTTTATTTATTTATTTATTTATTTTTTAAATTTTTATACTGCCCCCTCTCCTGAAGGACTCGGGGTGGTGAACAGCCAAAATTAAAAACACACAATACAAACATTAAAATACTATAAAACAAAATTAAATTTATCTTTGGCTTCCCCAATTTAAAACCCCTTACCCATAAAATTCCCCAATTAAAAGATTTTTAACCCAGCCCGGCTTGCTGAAATAAAAAAGTCTTCAGGGCCCGGCGGAAGGTCCGGAGGTCCGGAATCAGTCGTATCCCTGGGGGTAGCTCATTCCAGAGGACGGGTGCCCCCACAGAGAAGGCTCTTCCCCGGAGGGTCGCCAGCCAACATTGCATGACCAACGGCACCCTGAGGAGGCCCTCTCTGTGGGAGCGTATTGGCCGGTGGGAGGTTATCGGTGACAGAAGGTGGTCTCGTAAATAACCAGGCCCTAAGCCATGGAGCGCTTTGAAGATGAGAACCAATACCTTGAAGTGCACCCGGAAGACCACTGGAAGCCAATGCAGCTCGCGCAGGAGAGGTATCACGTGGGAGCGCCATGTCACCCCCATATGTACCCGCGTGGCCGCATTCTGCACCAATTGGAGTCTCTGAGTGCTCCTCAAGGGGAGCCCCATGTAGAGACCGTTGCAGTAGTCCAGGCAGGAAATGACAAGGGCATGAGTGACCGTGCATAAGGAATCCCGATCCAGAAAGGGGCGCAACTGGCATATCAGGTGAACCTGATAGAAAGCCCCCCTGGCCACAGCCGTCATATGTTCTTCTAAAGACAGCCGTGCATCCAGGAGGACACCCAAGTTCACGGCCTCTCCGTGGGGGCCAATGTCTCGCCCCCAATAGTCAGTGATGGCACTAGCTGACTATATCGGGACGCCAGCAGCCACAGCCACTCAGTCTTGGAGGGGTTGAGTCAGAGCCTGTTCCTCCCCATCCAGACCCGCACGGCCTCCAGGCACCGGTACATCACTTCAAGGGCATCGTTGGGGTGGTCTGGGGTGGAGATGTACAGCTGGGTGTCATCAGCGTACAGATGGCACTGCACCCCAAAACCATGGATGATCTCGCCCAGCGGCTTCACATAAATGTTGAACAGGAGAGGCGAGAGGACCAACCCTTGTGGCACCCCACAAACCAGGTGCCTTGAGGTCAACCTCTGCCCCCCAGCCAACATGGACTGTGACCGGTTGGAGAGATAGGAGGAGAACCATCGTAAGACAGTGCCTCCCACTCCCAACCCTTCCAACCGGCGCAGCATGATATCATGGTTGATGGTATCAAAAGCTGCTGAGAGGTCTAATAGGACCAGAACAGAGGAGCAACCTCTGTCCCGAGCCCTCCAGAGATCATCGACCAACGTGACCAATGCCGTTTCTGTGCTGTACCTGGGCCTGAAGCCGGACTGGAATGGATCTAAATAGACGGTTTCATCCAGGTACTGTGGGAGCTGTCGCACAACCACACTCTCAACAACCTTCACCAGGAAGCGAAGGGTGGAAATTGGATGATAGTTTGCCAAAACAGCTGGGTCCAGAGAGGGCTTCTTGAGGAGGGGCCTCACCACTGCCTCTTTCAAGGCAGGAGGCAAGAAACTCTCACTCAAGGAAGCATTTATAATCCTCTGGAGCCAGCCTCGTGTAACCTCGCGGGTAGCCAGCACCAACCACGAGGGACGCGGGTCCAATAAACATGTGGTTGCGTTCAACCTCCCCAGCATCCTGTCCATGTCCTCGGGGGTCACAGGGTCAAACTCATCCCAGGTAACAGTCTCAAGATACACCTTGGACGACCCGCCTATACCCACCCAGTCAGAGTCCAAGCCTTCCCAAATTTGAGCGACTTTATCGTGCAGATAATGCACAAAGTCCTCAGCACGTCCTTGCAAGGGGTCTTCCCATGCTCCTAGATGGAGAAGGGAGCGGGTCACCCTAAACAAGGCAGCTGGGCGATTATCTGCCGACGTGATAAGAGCGGAAAAGTAATTACACTTCGCCACTTTTATCGCCACTAAGTAGGTCTTGATGTAAGACCTCACTAGTGTACGGTCAGATTCAGAGCGACTGGCCCTCCAACTACTCTCTAGGCGTATTTTCCGGAGCTTCATCCTCCTCAGCTCCTCGGAGAACCAAGAAGCTGGGCAGATTCGGCGCCGGGTCAGAGGCCGCAAAGGCACGACCCGATCTAAAGCATCAGCGGCCGCCCTATCCTAGGCGGCCACCAGGTCTTCCATCAAGTCGTGAGCCAGAGTCTCAGGAAATGGCCCAAGCTCCATTCGGAACCTATCAGGATCCATAAGGCGCCTGGGGCAGAACCAGCTGGTCAGTTCCACCTCCCTGTGGTGGGGTGTAGCGGTCAGAAAGTCAAGTCTAAGGAGGGAATGGTCTGACCATGACAAGAGTTCAATGACTATATCCCCTGTATCTAGGTCATTCAACCACTGACCAGAGACAAAAACCAAGTCCAGCGTGTTTCCTCCTATGTGAGTGGGGCCCTGAATTAACTGGGTCAGGTCCATGGTCATCATGGAAGCCATGAACTCCCGAGCCACCTCAGATGCTTCACCAATGGACGGCAGGTTGAAATCCCCCATGACTAAAAGCCTGGGGGTATCAACCGCCACCCTGGCTATAACGTTGAGGAGCTCGGGCAGGGCCGCTGCCACGCAGCAAGGAGCCAGGTACGCAACCAGCAGGCCCATCTGCCTCCCATGGCCCCACTTCACAAGGAGAGACTCACAGCCGGCTATCTGAGGTACAGTGGCCTCCCTAGGATCAAGACCTTCTTTTACGATAACCGCCATCCCCCCACCCCTACCCTGGGCCCTTGGCTGATGAAATGCGTGGAAACCCGGTGGGCACATTTCTACGAGGGGGACCTCCTCCCTCCTGGCCCAACCAGGTCCTTATGCTTTCTACCTGCTCATTAAAATCTGCCAGTGCCAAAAAATTAAACAAGGAAATAAGTACTGTAAATTTAAAGCTTTTCAGTTAAGTGCCAATTATATAGTCAACGACCACTCATCAAGGACTGCAAATATAATATATTTAACACATATTATAATCTTAACTGGGTATATATAAGGCTTACATTACTCATTCTTTTGCAAATATAATTGCAAATTTATTCAATGGAACTGGAGAATTTAAAGTAATCTCATTTTGGAAGGCTGTCACATATGCTTATATAGCAATGCATTTTTAAAACAATGGTTGATCAAAGAAACTGCAATGGACTGATGGGAGTATAATAGTAAACTATTTTCACACGTCCTTCTGAACTAAATACCAACAATATTTTTTTCATTGCTGTTAATCTTTAATAAATTTCTACCTCATGCAAAAACATGCTGTTGAGGCAATGTCCAGATAAATTTTCAATGGACACCTTATATGACTTGTTCCTCTGACGTACAATTCACAAATATATTAATTTACATAAATGTCTGTCATTTTTAATACCAGCCTCATATCAAGTGCCTTGTCTTGCTCTGCCAAATTCTTTTTCATTTAATCATAAACAGAAGTTTTATTCTTCGTTGCAAAATTTTTCACTGTTCTTTTGATTTATATTTACAGTACTTACCTTGCTGAAATTGTGTTGCAAGGAACAATTAATTATTGCTTGAAAAGTCACAGAGATTCTTGGACAAATGTATTATGAATGAAGAGCATAAGGCACTGTTATGGTTATGATTCCTCCCTTGAAATCATACTACATAATGAAACTTTTGTCACCAAGACTCGTCCAACTTGTTTTTATTTATCCCATTGGTGGCTTCTTTTTTTAACCTAATACAGCTCATAAAGAATCTAGTCCTTGCAGTGATGCCACACTACCTACTGTGAACGCAGCCCAGCACAGAAGCAACTGCTCAGCTACAACTGGCACCAACGGGTAAGCGCTCTTCTCCTTTTTCAAAAGGCAAGATAAGAAGCTGCCACAGCAGCAACGGGCATTGTACCTTTTGGCTTCCATGCCACACTTCCAAATGTGGCAGACTATCTTCCCCAGCTGGCTTTGGCTTTCTGGTCAGAGTTTTGACCAAAAGGCAGGTTTTTCTCCTAGAACTTCTTTTCCACTTATTGATTCTGGGAGGCAGCTGGAAGGGCAAAAAAGCACTAATGCCCCAAGCAGCTTAATCAGACTCACTCAAGATATATCCAGGGGACATTATTACTGATTTCTCTCAGGCTGCACTTGATCAGAAGTATGGAAAAGTGACCACAAAATGAAAACTTAGTGCCTCATCTTCTCTTCATAGATTTTCAGATAGGAGTTGAGAGCAAGAGAAAAAACAAGAGAGTTTAAACTCTTATTCCACTTGGAAATCAGTTTCATTAAATTTAGCACGAACAAGCTTAGGAAAATTTTGCCTTTTGTTAAATAGAAGACATATAATCCCCTGCAGAGTTTTTTGTTTAAGTCAGTTTCTCCTTTCCTCTTTATATTTTAATAGTGCAGACATTGTTCTACAGGGTGCCTGGATTTGGATCTGAACACACTCATCATTTTTCATTTGTAAGCTTGTTGCATTTTCCCTCTTCATTCCTTTTCTCATAACTGAAAATTAATTAAGGAGTTAATTAATTAATTATTAATTGTTACCATTGTGTTTTTATTGGTACTTCTCGGATCTGTTCTTTTCTTTTCTCTGAAAAGATGAAATAGTTGTTTGTGACAATTTTCATCTTGAAATGAAACTATAAAGACGTTATTTATTTGGGAAATTTACAGGTGGCTTTCAGTAAAATGTCCTGGGAAATTTACAAAAAAATAGGCTGCTTGTCTATAAGCCTTTGAAAACTATTTGGGTTACATGATATCCTGAAGATGTTCCACATTTGCTGCTATTGTGCTGACACTATTAAACAGTGATTGCATTGTATTTGTTTGTATTATGTTGCAAAGTCTGAAGATGAGTTTCTGTAAGCTCTGAAAAGAGGAGTTTTCAATGTTTTATGCCAAGAAATCTGGATGATTGGTGTTGAAAACAGCAGAGTAAAGTAGATACAGACTTTGGGCTAATGCAAAGAAGGCAGTTAGTTAACAATTGCTATTTGGTCCAGAGGTCTTCTGTCAAGAAAGGTTGTTTATTACAGGAACAACACATTCTAAACCTTAAATACTTTGTTTCTCAGTAAAACACACACACACACACACACACACACACACACACAGGTCTTCCTTTTTTCCAAAAAGTGTTCCCATGAGTTCAATTTGTTCTAAGTTGGGGGACTTGCTCTTTGAAGAACCTATTCTGAAGGAGTGCTGATCTTGGAGATAGGGAAGGGATGAATGAGTGGGGAGAGGGGGGCTTCCAGAAAAGGTTAACTAACCCCTCCAAATAACCTGCCATGATTTTCTTTAGTATAAAAAGAAAACCCTGACTGTTTTTCATTACTATGTTGCTGTACCTACCTTGAAAATTTTGTTGCTCTTCTTACCTAAATAGCTGACACCTAGCAGGGGAGGCACACTCCCCAAAAGTATGAATTGGGCTATGACATAAAGTAAACCTGATATCAATTCATTTGCATTTAATTAAATTTAAAATTATAATTCCAACATTTCCTGGATGGTGCTGGATAGCAGAGTATCCCTCATTTAAGCCATAATCTACCTGGGGAAGACATTGAGAATAGAACAATTTTGCTTAGAAGTTTTTCTCCTTTGGGAAAAAACCACATTTTTCATCAAACTGCAAATGTTAAAAAAGCAGAAAGAAATTTCACCAGTTCTCTTTGCTTCAGTATATAGAATCTCCTTACAGTACATAGGCTTCTTTTATGAACAAATATCTTGACCAGGATTGCCCTCTTTTCTGTTCTAGTCTGGGTGTCCTACTTGATTTACAAGAAATGTCCTCAGGATTCCGGTTGTAGAGTCCCACCAAAAAAAGAGCACATATTTACCATTTGTCAAAATGTTTTAGCCTTTCTTCCAGCAATTCATGCATTTTGAAAGAGGGTGCCTACCTTTCTGTATGTTAGCTTGTTGGTTGGCTTTAATCCCTGTTTACCACTTGAATGAGGAAATGAATGGAGGCTACTTCTTCCACCTCTGCATCAGCCATCTGAGTCAATTTCTCCTAGAAAATAACCTAGCCTGAGTCACCGCCACAGAGAAATCTTACTTTCAAAATAGTGCTGAAATATGACTATTTGTTGGACGATGTGTGCCTAGGAAAAGTTCTTAAAATCTTTTTTTTTTTTAATTGTGCATTGCTTCTCCTTTTTAAAATTGATATTTATATTAAGGAAATTTAAAAAGCTGTTAGAAATAGATACATTACAATGAAATGAACAAGTATTTTTTATGAAGTGTTTGGGTTCCCTTTAATGTGGATTAATAAAGCAGAGAGAACTGATTATTAAGATCTTTCTAATTTCTATATTGGCATTTGTGCTTCCTCTTTACTCAATTGCATTCTTGCTTCTCTACTTCTGTAAATTAAAAAATAGCAGAATGGAACCTAGAAACAGTGCATGAATTAAAAGGGGGAACGAACAAATATAATATTTATGTGAATTGTACTCAAAAAACAGTGTCTATGTAAACAACTAGTTTCATATTACTTTGTAGTATCAGATGTAAAAGTGATTAAAATTAAGGCTCAATATAAACATATTTTTTATTTTTAAATTTAAATTTATTTATGAAATCTTTGTATGTTATATATCTTATTATATTTCAATGGAGACTTTAATTTCCACAATTTTAGTCTGACTATGTGTGATGAATAGTACCTGTGAAGGGGAAGGTAGTGTGGTGGATACAAAAAGCAGCAAATTCATAAGAAGGAGAGAGCACATTTCAATTGAGGGGGGAGGGGAGGAGGAAGACAAGAGGCAACACAGCCTGGTGCTTCATCAAGAGTTAGGAAAGCCACTCCCTAGAATCTCCCAGGATATATCTCTATGGAGAGAATAGTACTGGTTTAGTCTAGCAAGATTCTATATCTGTCTGTCTGTCTGTCTGTCTGTCTGTCTGTCTGTCTGTCTGTCTATCTATCTATCTATCTATCTATCTATCTATCTATCTATCTATCTACCTACCTACCTACCTACCTACCCACCCACCCACCCACCCACCCATCCATCCATCCATCCATCCATCCATCCATCCATCCATCCATCCATCCATCTATCTGTTGAGAATTGAATGACTATTCAAATGGGCCAATTAAGTAAAAGAAGCGGGAGATTTGGAGGAACGTCAATGGCTGAAGCCGCAGACAGCTCCCTTTAAAAGGAGCTGCCACAGCTAGGCAAATCCATTGCTGTACTGGAGCTAATAAAGAACTGTTACTGAAGTCATTGTCCGTGTCCTTCCTGTACCCCCTATCTTGCATTGGCAACGAAGGTGGGATCTCAGGAGGACGATTGGACACTAAGTCACTAAAGCTCCTCGAAGCAATCACCTGCCATCAGAAGCAACAGCCAGAAGATGTCTTCGATCATGCCACCCGCACCCTTCAACCCAGCTGGAGAAGACTGGGAATCGTACATGGAGAGATTCCAACGACTTGCTGGGCTTATCGGAACAGAGGAAGAGGGCACTCTTCCTCACACACTGTGGAGCCTCCATTTTTAAAATGGCAAAAGCGTTAGCATCATCAGAACTGAGAACGATGACCTGGCCGACCCTGCAGAACATCCTGAGATTCCACTATGCACCCCAAGCTTCATCCCTGGTAAGAAGACACAAATTCTATCGGAGGGACCAGAAGGAGGGAGAATCGATAAGTGAGTTCATGGCAACATTGCGTGAGATAGCCACCGCTTACGAATTCCTAAATATGGATGAAGCTATGAGGGACCGTTTCGTATTGGGCCTGAGGGATCTCACATTACAAAACCGTTTACTCACAAGGCCCAAAATAACATTTCAAGAGGCTTTGGAAGAAGCAATGGTGACTGAGGCATCCCAGAAATCTGCAGCAGCCATGAAGAAAATGAACAAGGGGTCGCAAGGAAAGGAAGAAGCTGCCGTCCACTACGAGGAGGTAGAGACTGAATCGGAGGAAGATGAGGAAAATGAAGTCCATCACCTCCGCTCAGACCACAAGGAGAAGAACCAAGGAAAAGGAAAGAAGGAACTTCAGTGTGCAGGCTGCGAAGGGAATCATCCAAGGTCGGAGTGCAGGTTCCGAGATGCAATCTGCCACAGGTGCGATCGTAAAGGGCATATAGCAAGAGCCTACAGGGCATCCCAGCCAGCCTCATGCAGGAACAGACAAACCAGCCCTCAACCACAAACCAGACAATTCCAAACAGGAACCCGAAAACAGCCATTTGGAAGGGGCTGCAGGAGCGAGGACTACGGATCAGAGAGAGGGGAGATCCATCAGACAATAATAGTTGGACACGTGAGCGCAGGAAAGTCAAAGAAGATGGCGGCAACTGTTTATATCGAGGGGAGACCCTGCAAAATGGAAGTCGACTCAGGGTTGTGCCTCTCCATGGTATCCTGGGCAATCATAAAGCAACTAATCCCCAGCCTCACGACCGGCGCACTCAAACATCAAAGAATCACACTGAAAGATTACCAAGGCCTTGGTAGTACAGGGGTTTAAGGCATCCTGTTATTAAGCTGGTTATTAAGACCAGCTGCCTGCAATTACTGCAGGGTTCGAATCTCGCCAAGGCTCAAGGTTGACTCAGCCTTCCATCCTTTCTAAGGTAGGTGAAATGAGGACCCAGTTTGTGGGGGCAATAAGCTGACTTTGTATAAATATATACAAAAGGATGAAGGCTATTGCTGAGCACATTGTAAGTCGCCCTGAGTCTTCGGAGAAGGGCGGCATATAAATCAAATTAAAAAAAAAAAAAAAGGCAACCGGATTCCAGTGCTGGGCATCGGAAAGTTCAACATGAGATTCAAAAACTTCTGAG